CCCCCCATAACCATCCCCATACATACCCCTCCGTCCATCCATCCATCCACACATACCTCCTTCCTTTCCCATACACACACACCTCCACCCTGGCCTCCACATACACACCATCCCTCCCTCTCTGCCTCCTTCCCCCCCACTCTACCCCTCCTGCTCACAGCTCTCCCTGAGCCCCTCTCTCCAGGATCCGCTCGGGTGGTGGGGCTGGGGGCTGGGTTGTGTGAGAGGCGAATCCGCTTCCCACCACTCACCTCTGACCCCAGGCTTGTCTCTCTGCCCCTTTCCCCAGTGAGTTTCCAGGTGCTGGTTCCCACCAGCCCCCTCTCCGCCCCGCTGGGGGGCACTGTGCTGCTGCCCTGCCACCTCTCCCCCGCGCTCAGTGCCCAGGCCATGCAGGTGAAATGGAGCCAGCCCCAGCTAGGCCAGGACGTCCACGTGTACCTGCCAGACGGGAGCGAGGTGCAGGGTGAGAGGTACCGGGGCAGGACGGAGCTCCTGCGGGACGGGATCCAAAGTGGCAGCCTGGCCCTGCGGATCTGGAACCTCACCCTGCGGGACGAAGGGCGCTACCTCTGTGACTTCCAGTCCGACACCTACTTCAGTGATGCCGCGTTGGAGCTCCGCCTGACGAGTGAGTGATCCTGGGGTGGAGAGAGGCCGGATTCAGCCTGCGCGGCTCTGGGGCGGGGGGAGATGGCCGAGAGGGGGACCTCCCCATGCAGCCTGCTGCAGTCACAGGCCAGAAAACCTCCCCCAGTGACACCTCCATCCAGCCCAGCTCTCCTGGTCAGCCAGAGCAGAGCATGTGGGGCAGAGACGTCCAGGCTGCACGTAAGGACCCTGAGGGATGTGGGCTCCCCAGCAACCTGACAGAGCCTCCTTCCATAGAGGATGCCCTGCAATGGCAGACATGTGCCCCCTATTTCCAGTGTGGATGTCTCAGGTCCAGTGCCCAGCCATCAGCTCTCCCTCTCCCTGTGTCTGAGGAGCCTTCTACCCTCAGAATCTCTTCCCTGAGTAGAGCCCGGCAAGAGAAGTGTTGTAAGCCATGGGAGGTAACAGTCCTGTTCTCTGTGGTGCTGGTGAGGCATCAGCTGCAGGCCTGTGTCCAGTTCAGGGGGCCACAAAACCATGGACAAGCTGGGGAGAGACCAGAGGAGAGCAACAAAACAATCAAAGATTTAGAAAACCGGCCCTAGGAGGAAAGGTTGAAAGAACGGGGCATGTCTGGTCTTCAGAAGAGAAGACTGAGGGGGGACCTGGTAACAGCCTTCAGATACATGAAGGGCTGTTACAAAGAGGACGGGGATCATGTGTTCGCCATGACCACTGAAGGTAGGACAAGAAGTAATGGGCTTAATCTGCAGCAAGGGAGATTGAAGTGAGATATTAGGGAAAACTTTGTAACTGTAAGGGGAGTTAAGCTCTGGACCAGGCTCCAAGGGAGGTTGTGGAAACCCCGTCACTGGAGAGTTGTAAGAACAGGTTGGACAAACACCTGTCAGGGATGGTCTAGGTTTGCTTGATCCTGCCTCAGCGCAGGGGCTGGATGTGATGACCTCTCAAGATACCGTCCAGCCCGACATTTCTGTGACTCTAGGGGTTGGTCTATACTTAGCCGCTAGTTCGGCGGCTGGAAATCGAACTTCCTGGTTCGATTTATCGCGTCTGGTCTGGACGCGATAAATCGAACCAGGAAGTGCTCGCCGTCGACTGCGGTACTCCAGCTCAACGAGAGGAGTACCGCGGAGTCGACGGGGAGCCTGCCTGCCGCGTGTGGACCGCGTCTGAACCGCGGTAAGTTCGAAGTAAGGTATGTCGAATTCAGCTACATTATTCACGTAGCTGAATTTGCGTACCTTACTTCGACTTGGGGGGTAAGTGTAGACCAAGCCTAAGTCTTCTCTTGGGTAAACTAACCTACACGGGGGTGAGCGAGAGGGGAACCAGGCCCTGGTGTGACCAGCAGGAATGAGGAGAGCATGAAATCAAGGGTGAATTCCTGTTGATTTGTTTCCCCCAGGCTCTGGTTCGGATCCCCTCCTCCACGTCGGTTTGTACGAGGACAAGGGGGTCTCGGTCACATGTCTATCTGCAGGGTGGTACCCGGAGCCCAATGTGCTCTGGAGAAACAGCCATAAAAAAATCCTGAGTCCAGAGTCCGAACGGAAACTGCAAAGTGACGACGGCTTATTCAACGTCTCCAGCACCGTGGTGATGACCGAGAGCTCGGATCCAGCACTGACCTGCACCCTCAGCCCTGGCTCGCCCGACCCAGAGAAAGTATCGGCCATTTTCATCTCCGGTGAGCTGCTGATGGAACAAGGAAACACAGAGCTGGAGCCAGATCTCCAGTGGTGGAGAATGGCATTTATAGATAGTGACAACTTTATGGCAGGGGCAATCTCTTACTGCGTGTCAGTGCAGCGTCCGGCGCAGCAGGCCCTGATCTCGGTCACTGTATGTCTGTGCAGCGCCAGGCGTGACAGGGCCCTGATCTCAGTCACTGTGTGTCTGTGCAGCGCCAGGCGTGACAGGGCCTTGATCTCGGTCACTGTGTGTCTGTGCAGCGCCAGG